CTTCTCAACAATTGATGGTCTCTTGACACCATCGATGGTTGAGAGGTACCAGTGATGATAAAAGTGGCTGATTGCAAATTTGATGATTTAATCGCAGCCGTTCATTGTTTATATATTCTCCAACTTCTACCACATTTGGGATCTCTCTTTCCTGGCCTAATTGTCAGAGAAAGTTGCTATTTTGTTGGCCCAAAATCTGGCTCGTTACCAAAATGCCCAATTCCCCATCTCATTTGCCCTAGCCCATCTCTAATATTCTCTTTCTCCCTACTGCTTAACCTAAGTCGGCTGCCCCTTTTATAAAAGACCGATGTCTTTGTTCTCAAAATGGGACAGAAGAAAAACAGTGCCTTTGTGCTCTGAGAGCTTTGTGCGATCCTCTCCCCTTCTGTGAGCTTTTCCCGTCCATCGCTTTGTGCCATCCCTTCACCCTTTGTGAGTGATCAAAGAGAAGAAGTGTGGCGAGCTCCCCTCATGTCCTGGTGGTGCACAAGAGAGAAACGAGGACTGAAGATTCAGGCTTCTGAGCCAAACATCGACGACATCGAAACTCTACATGGGGTTTCATATTAAGAGACCTTAAAAAGATTTTTTTTTATTCACCGGAGCCTCGTTGAACTCTCGCTCGTCGCACACATCATCTTCCGTTCGTTTCCTCATTAAGCTTCACTTATGTCCTTCGAGGGACGATTTGTTTTATCGAAAGGACTGTAAGATCGTCTCTTTATTACGAGTTTTAATTGTTTTGTGCTTATTTTACTTTAAACTTCTTTTAAGTATACTCAAGCCAATTAAATGTGCGGTCTTGTAAGACTACTGAATCGAGTTTGTAATTCAGGTGAACTGGTTTTGAGGATTCTCTTTCGCGAGAATGAAGAGTGGATGTAGGAGTGTTTATCTGAACCACTATAAAATCTCGTGTTTCTTGGTTAGTTGCTTTTGGTGATTGTTATTTTATGTTTCGCTATTATTTGATATTTTTCGCTGCATATTCTAAATTTTAGCGAAAAATAGTAGCAATCGTATTCACCCCGTTCTAAGTCTCAGATCTAACAACTAAAACCCGTGGAACATGTTAAGAGTACAAAAATATATAACCCTAATTAATCTCCCATCGCAACTGGGCCGGGCTGTTGGTGCAAATTATGGGGCCGGTTAGTTTGGTCGTCTTTTTTGAATTTGCTATTACAATGAAAACGCAAGTCTTAATGGTACGGATATGATGTCTTATGTGCATGCTCAATTAAAGGGTAAAATAATTATTTACGCTTGTATACCATTAAATTTATGGTTTTGAGATCATAATCAAAGTATCAAGAGGTGTGTACGTGTAACCTGATGGGTACAAGCTGTAGTTTGACAAAAAATGTTGTTCAAAGATCCCAATATATGCTTTGAACTCACACACTTGGAACATGAGCCCCATGAATGATCATGATCATTGAAGATATATCAGATAAATTGAACTCAAAGCAATTGAGAAAGCAATATATTTAATTTCTCTTGATTAATTTCGTATGCAAGCCTTGCAAGTGACTCCACCCACCACCTTTGTAATAAAAACCCCAAGGATGGTGGTCATGTGGGACTAAAAAGAGAGGTGTTCTGCTTATAAACAGGGATCATGTGACAAGGACAGTGGCTCACGTGGACACGTGGACACCGCCCAAGAGTCATCAACATGCCACGTAGGATTAGTTATGCCATTATAATGTTTGATGGTTAATTAATTAATAATGTTGCTTTGTCTGAGTGCAACTTGGGACTTGGGAGACTTTTATATGATGAAAAAAAAATATTTGATCATGTGTAGATTCTGTGCAGGTAACATGTTAGAGCATTAGCTTGCATCCATTGTTCCTCTTGACCACTTTAAATAATTTCCAGCAATTTATTTTTGGTAAAAAAAAATCATTTTTCTATTAAAGCGAGTGATGAAATATTATGAAAATATGAAGGGATATAAGGAGACTTTTATTTAGTTTCTAGCAAACAAAATAAGCATTGTTTAAAAGTGACAGAGGACGTGCCGGGCGTTATCCGCTTCAGCGATGATTGATTATTCTTCTAGGGGGGTGTTAGTCAATTGGGACATTTTCATGCAAAATGGGATAATTGTTAAAGTAGAATAATATTTCGCTAGTGGGATATTTTAGTGGGATAACTAGGAACAATTTTGTGAAGCAAGATATTTTGATAAAATAACGTGGGATAAATTTTTATAATCATGAAGTATATATTTATGCATTTTGAAGATATAAATACTATATATGTATTTTAAACTTACTATTATTAATTGATAATTGCTTACAAGAATGTTCGTTACTATTAAATAACATTTGGTTAGACTATAAGATATTGACAATTATTATTATGATGATGGTCTAATGATGGTGATAACCATAATAGGAAATAAGTAAAGAAAAAAATAAAAAATAACAAAATAAATACGAGTTCTAGTTTTTTACCACATAGTTCCAAGCTAAAACTTGGAATAATTTGAGAGACTAGAACTCTTATTTTTGTATAGAAAAATAAAAAAAGTGGGATAATTTTGTACAATTATCCCAATTCTAGTTTTGTTAAAGTTCTGCTTGACTAACACTGTAAAATTTTATTCTAGTTTTAGTTCTATGTGACTAACACCTTAAAATTTTGTTCTAGGTTTAGTTCTATGTGACTAACACCTTAAAATTTTATCCCACAGATTATCCCAGTTCTAATTTTAAGTTCTAGGTGACTAACCCCCCCTAGGGATTACCAAAAGTTCATCTCAGTGTGGCTCGAAAAAATTTCTCATCCATTCTATAAAAAAAATATAATCACTTTAAAGTTTAATTTACTATTAATGAAAACTTTAATCCTAGGCTTTTTATCATATTCTTTATATTTAGTCTCTAACATATGGAGTCTGTTGGAGCAATTTTTCCCCTGCTACCCCTTATATTTAGGCTTTGTTTGGCAAAACTAGCTGAAAGCTGTGAGATTATAGCTGAAAGCTGTCAAGCTAGCTGAAAGCTGTGAAATTGTAGCTGAAAGCTGATAGCTGTGTAGCTAGCTGATTGACTAGAGCTGTTTGGCAAAAGAAGCTGTACAACTAGCTTAAATTTGTTAAATGACTAAAAAGGTCATGCAATATTATTGATATAAAATTAGAATTATTTGGGGCAAAAACGGAAGAAAAAAATTGACAGCTCCTTCCCAAAGACAAACGCTACTTGAGATAGCTTTCCAAAAGCTACTTGCAAAAGACACAATCTCCAAAATAATCTTCTCCTATTTTTGGTCACCAAACAGCTCTACTAGCTTATTGACCAAGTCAATAAGACACAAGCTCTTAGATAAGACACTTTTTTTGGTTGCCAAACAGTGCCTTAGTCTTAGGACATGAGATAGGGAGACTCTTGGAGATGCTCTTAGCATTCAAGATTTTAAAAAGGCTTTTTTTTTGTGTGTTCTATGGTACGTTTCTTGCCATAATATAAACAATTTTTTATTTTTCCCTTTTGCCTCTTGGAGAATAGTGACCTAGTTGAACAACATCGTACTCGAAATTATGTTGTTTTGTACACTCTAGTTGTAAATACAATAAATATTACCTATAATCTATACAGCTATACTGCATGCAACATTTATTATATGAAATCAACCTCAAATTTATAGTTTAGATATTTGAATTTTATAGTAGAAAGCGTATTTCCAAATCGAAATTTGATCTGTGATGTGTTATAAAAGTTATGAGTTTGCATTTATATTCAAAAAGTGCATTTTCAATTGCAAACAAGTTTCTACATAGCTGCACTTGCAGAATAATCTACTTTTTTTTTATTTAGAAACTCCTTGATGACGTCACACTACTTTTTAGGTTTTTTAAGTTAAGGTAAGGATTCCAAACATTTGCTGCGGGCCTCGCAACCAAACAAACAAAATTTTAGAACTTTTGATATGCAAAATGTAAAATCAATTATCTTTTCTGATTAAATTGTTGCTTACTAAATGATGAAAATAGAAATTTAACAGCACCCAAATTGTTGCTTATTCAATAATGAAAATAGAAATTTAACAACACCCATTGCTTATTAAACAATGGAAATTGAAATTTAATGGCAACATTTGCTGTTGGAGGTCTATTTTCCTACCAACCAAACAGATGTTTGTAGCCACGTCTACATTTTAAACGGACCACTACAAAGGCCCAAAATTTGACGGTTCAAGCAAACGATTTGGGCCTAGGCCTTGCTGCTATGCCTATTCTCGTTTTAAAGGCCGTATTGAGGATTTCTCAATTGTTTTATTTTATCAAAGGCTCCGACGTTACCACAACGTAGATCTCATTAGCCTTGCGTTCACGTGATAAAACTCAGTTCAGGCTCAACTAACAAAGATCAATCCACCGTCCTTAAACAGTTTAAAATTCTTCGCTTTTCACCCACTTTCATTAGAAAAAAGAAAATAACAAAAATACAACGTTAAATGCAACACCCTCTCCATTTTCAATCGCTTCCCAACATTTCCAAACGAGAAAAGAGACGCGGAAAAGAGGATTAAACCACGTGTCACTTAAACGTGTTTAGTAGTAATAATTCTATAATTAAAACCAATACCCATCAAGTACGTAAACGTTGCAATGCTTCACAAAATTCGTAGTGAAGAGTAGAGAGCGATAGCGGCATACCTAGAGTACAAATACACCACGAATTATCCCATTTTAATGAGAGATATTGAGACCATAGTCTCACTTTTTCATTGAATCGACATCAACTCCCAATGCGCATAAGATTTTATTCATACTTTAACTTTCGAGAAAAAGAAAAGCGGTCTGGGGATCAACTTCTCACCAGCCCAAGTTTTTTGCTCTCAAATAAAACGGAAACCAAATCTCTCCTCCGTTTGAAAAGTGCGTGCAGATTGGCAAAAACCCTCTTCCGCTGATATTCATGCGTTAGCAATATTGTCCCACACGGACCTATTTAGCCATAATTATCAGCATACAAAAATAATGAATTGAAAAGCAACAAGACAAGATAACTCAGCGAATACATATCATTAAAACATAGAAAGCACTCCCTTGACATAAAGATCATTCACTCATGATTAACAGAAGTTTCACGGTTATAGGATTATTATCCAAACAACTCCGAAGAACCACACAGCTACATGTTCTCATATCTCAATGTCAGTGCACCTGATATACACAGAACAACAAAAACTGTCATGAGGAAGCAGATATCACTAGTTTCACACAAAATGAGCGAAAAAAGTAAAAACAGAACAACAAGACTCATTTATACAAAACATAGGAAGGCACGAACAAAACTTGAAAGATGGGCAGCAAATGTCAGATTAGCAAACAACAAAGCAACTGGTGCAACGTTCAGATCAACGTCGCAAACGTCATACCACATGGCAAGTTAATCAGCTTGCTAAAAACCACCCTACTTTGAAATAGCATTCATATTCATATAGAAATATCCAACTACACTCAAATTTTGTTGATAAAAATAACAATGTCAGTGTCTACCATAAAAATATCAAAGAATGAAAGAGATTTTATCAGAAGAATTTGGCTAGTGGTAAGCATAACAAAACATAGGAAGACACAGAAAACACAAGCACATCAGCAAGCACAAGCGAAACCTTTGTGGCTCTCACTCCGCAAGCACATGAACTTCCATACATATAACAATTTAATGTGAATCATTATCTAGAATAAGAAAACCTTTAACTGTATACAGACTATTCAAATAAAAACAAAATATGTTGCAATTACAGTTGAAGTGAGCTTTGCCATCTGTATAAGGTTCGTCCTTTAATTTTTCTGAATCAGGTTTCACGTGCTACTAGCATCTTCCCTATAGAAGTGTGTGCTTGAGTTTTTCTGAAATACATTCCATGAGCTAACGTCTTCCCCGAAAATGTTATTAAGAAAGAAGTCAGACTTCGTGAAAATCTATTGTTCCACTATCTTTGTACAAATAACATTCTAAAGGCTTTGATCCTTGATTAGCTTGGCAGGCTTTTCCCTTCTGATTTCTCATCAACTATATCCAATGAAGAATAACAGCAATTGATAACTGTATATCATACATCTCGGGAAAAAATTTAATTGCCTATCATTTATCTAAAAGTGCAGCAACCTAGATGCTGGTGTCAACTGCTATGAGTCAAATAGAACTACCGATATCAGTCACAGACATCACCCTAACTTCCTCATGCTATTCCTCACTCTCTCATGTCATATATTTGTATCTCACCTTCAGATAAATGCTTTGACCAATGAAGGCATAAAGGCTAATGCCTTTCCCGTCAAAAAGCACAGAAAAGATACTGCACCAACATACCACCGTGTAATTTGCTGTATTGCTGCTATACCATTCAGAACATGGACCTGCTAATTGTGGTTATATTAGTACAACAATGATTAGCAAATTTCTTTGATGGTATAACAGAAGTTGGACATGTGCCCAATCTACACCTGCATACCAGCCACGTCAATGATATTTAGGAGTATACGATATATGACATAAGTTAAAAAGGTAATTGATTTTGCAGGAATAATTAAATCATGCCCACAGAATTTGACATGGAAATAATGCTTTGTTGTTAAAAGAAGTGCCTTTCTTAGGATATGTTAAGGAGAGAGTTAATGTAACATTGTAACATGATATCATCCATGAGATAATGTTCCTTGCTCATGGATCTCTACCACGAGGAGAATGCTACACTTCTTCCCTCGCAATTCAAAACATTAAGGCAAAAACATTTTTGATCTATTGTGCTGTCAAAAAGGAATATGGGCAGTTATTTTCCTTCTTAAAGAGAACTACAAAAGAGGACACATCTAGGAGTACAAGCTTGCAAATAACAACCCGATGAGCCGTAACTACTATTCCCTAAATCATGCAAAACCACACTGAGCACAGCCTAGAAAGGCCCTCTATGATGCAGTTCAAGTTCAGCTTGGTTCTAGGTAATAACATGCTAGCACCCGATAATGTGAAAGGCCAATCATTCAAACTTTATGCACATGCTCTTCAAAATTTAATAGAAGTTTCACTAATGTCTTCCGGACATATCTTGTTAGCATCATACAGGTTATGTATGAGCAAGTAATCTATAGATTCTACAGTCATTAGATGTTTATCATCCTGTATGGGACTAAACAATGCCTCACATATAATCTTATGAAAATGCTCAAGGGCAGATTCTGGATTTTAGTATATCAATTAATTACTCAATTAAATCCTTGCTTAAGCATGTGCTAGTGTGATGTTGTATATTGATGAATATTTGTATCAAAGTGGAATTTGGATCATTTCTTTGGTTTATTGTGACTGGTGAACTTATGCATTATGCTTTTCATCAGAAGTTTATCTTATACAGTGCCACAGCCACCATAGAGCCCATGGGGCCTCGGCCACCCCTTAAAAGAAGGGGTTTTATATATATATATATATATATATACACACACACACACACACACACACACAGTCCATTTCGAGTACGAATTTATGAAAAGTATATGCATCTCAACTTAGTATACCGGCATACGTAAAAGATAAGTTATATAGAACAGGTTCAATGTGACTCTATGATGTTTATTTTAGCTCTATGAGCCCAAATTCTAGGTCTCAATATCCTAGTACCATAGGATTAATAAAAGTGGGGTACCATGTCAAATAAAATGTTAACCGAATTGAGATGAGACCTACTTATTTTCCAATTGCACAAAATATTATTTTGACTAGTCGCACAAAATATGGTGATGATTAGTTGATAATATTTCTCTTGCATATAAATCAGTTTACATTACTTATGATGATTTATATATCTAGTTTTTGTTAAACCAATGCATAATGTATAAATTCATTCACTTACTGAGCTGTGAACTCATGGTATTCACCTTTTTCCAAAAACTCAGGATCAAGTGGAGTTGGAAAGCTGCACGGTTCTAACGAAGAATTGAGGAAATTGATTGATCTTCGACATATTGTTAGTTTTAGGTGAAGGTTGAGTAAATAATTTGATAATTAGTTAGTCTCTGGAAGATTAAGTTGTAATAAGCTTTTCTCTTTTAGGCTGAAATCTCTAGTTGTGATTCTTTACAACATTTAATTGGATAAATGTTGACTTTTGGTTATGAAGGATAATTGTTATTGAATTTGATTTATAGATGATTAGACATATTTGGCGGTTATTTGATAAATATATATTTTGAAAAAAATTATTAGCAGCTTAAACCTGATTTTCAAATTAGTCTGAAGTCCAGAAATTGGGTCGTGACAGGATACTAACCTATCACCAACATGTACTGGTATATTAACTTGAGATGCATATACTATCTATAAATATACCAGATTCATTTAACCAAATAACTTGTAGACTTGTAGTAATATGTCAGCCAACCAATAACGGAACTCAATTGCATATGCATCTCAACCTCATGCTATAGGAAAAAAATGTGATCGTCACAAAAAATAAAATATGAACCTATACTTGAATATTGTGTCCAACCACAATTAACAATTGATGCTTGAGCAAATCATATAAGGTGATATAATTGATCATAGAACAAATTCACACATAAGATAAATTTTAGATGAAACACTACACCACACATAATGCATAAATTCAACACTTGGGTAAACCCAAAAGACAATCCAAATTTTAGTCACGACTCCTCTGCAAAACCTCTAGGAACCCTTAAAAAAATTTCGTCATATGAATTAATATACTAATCTTACTCCACTATGTATCAAATTATACATCATTTAACTTAACGTACTGGTTGCCAAGCTGCTTATCCAGTCATACCAAAAAATCTAACCCATAGAATCCTATAGAAATACAAACTTGTATACATTCATATTCATTATGCGAAGAATTTAGAGTCCATGAGTGATGATCTTAATAGTTGCAGGCTTACAGCAATGTGTTTCAAGTTTCAACCTCAACTATAACTGTAATATAAGACCTAAGTAGCTAGGCAGAAAACATGGAGATCAAGCAACACTAATACAATAACTGATCAATTTATAAACAAATTTACCCTATCAAGTTGATTGGTTGCCGCTCTTTTCAAAGAATAAATATCAATAGCACAAGAATGAAACCGAAGTTGTATTAGTCTTGCTCCAAAACTAATGAACTCTGATAAAAATACTGCTCTTTGAAAGCCCTTCCAACCTTCCTCTGTAGCTGCAAGGGTTTTCTAATTTCTTCTGCCTACTAAATTAGAAATGCATGTGACTAGGGTTGAGTTTTATTAGTTCTCAGTTTCAAATAAAACAAATGTCCAATTATGACATCCCGTTAACCACTTATATTAGACATCTTACTATAGTTACTATTTTCTCCTTGCATAGAAGTCCTCTATAAGTAAATATTTAAAATAACTAAATAAATAGTTTGAATAATTACTAAATAATTCTAACATATTAACTTATTATCAAGTGTTAGGATCATACAAACAATCCCCCTTAATAAAAAATTTATCCACAAAAATTGAACATACTTGAGTCATTAAGTTCCTTTAACTGCCTTCAACCAATTTATGATTATATATACTAGTATAATTATCATCACTATTTATTAAACCTCCCCTTCCAATTTAACAAAAACAATTTAATATTAGCTAACTCGATTGTTTGGATAATTTCTAAATAACATTTTTTTTAGAAATCATAGATTATACCCATTGAGAATTTGGATATTACAGATGAACCTTTCGGGCAACATGCTCACACTTTCTCCGAGGCCGGTAAAATGATTTCTTTACTTGCTATTTCAATAAGATAATCATACTTTTTGAATTCTAGTCCAACAAACACTTCCAAATCCATTAAAACCCATATTAACACAGAGATACAATCAACCACATCATGCCAATAAGCAACTTGCTTGAACAATCTACTATCTACTACTCAAGAAAAACAAGAAAAATAACCCCACAAAGTTAAATCCAGCCAAATTTCAGTCTAAAATTGAGAAACAAAAATCAACGAACCTACTTCCAAGACCTCAATCAACTCACATGACACAACTCCAGCTAAACAGAAAGGATAGTAGAGCTAACCCTCTGTCACCGTCAATTGTAGTAAAGCTCAAGTCCCATGCCATCACAAATTTCATAGAGTAATATGAGCCTTGTAGATATTAGATACTAGACCACTTCTGGATCCGGATATTCTCAGCCCGTGTACCCATTTGAGCCGCCTTCGAATAATGTCGTCCTTGTTGCTCTCACCCGTACCTTCTACCCCAATCGACCGTTTAGAAGTTCGTGGTATCCAGTTCATGGGTAGGTTTATTTTTATTTTTATAGGAAGTGGTATTTTTTTCCAATGACGTAAAAATTTGTGGTAGTTTTTCTTTAAAAATTAGTTTATGATATTTTTTTCACGACTCTAATAAGTCATGGTAATTTTGTGAAACTAACTCGTAAAAGCTCTTTCAAATAAAAAACAGAGATGCACGCAATCTACTACATCATGACAATATACAACTAAATTGAGCAATCCAGTACACAAGAAAAACAAACAAAATAATCCCCATAAAGTAATTCATCCAAATTTCAACCTAAAAGTGAAAAAGAAAAATCAAATCAATCAAGGTCTTAATTTTAAGACTTTCATACAAACACATATCAATTCAATTCATGTCAAATATCTCAACTTAATTGCAGCCAAGTTTCAATTTCAGAGAGAGAAAAGCAGAGATTAGACCTCCATTGCCATCAATTGTAGTAGAGCTCGAGTCCCATGCCATCATGGATCTCATAGTCCTTGAGAGTGTACCCGTTTGAGCCGCCACGAGCTTCTTTAGGTCGCCGATGGTGTCGTCCTCGTTGCACTTCACGCGCACCTTCTTCCCCAATCGATCGTTGAGAACCACTTCGATCATCTTCGAAACCCTAGAATTTGAGGATCAGAGAGTTTTTTTTGAAACCCTAGAATTTGGGATTTCGGGGGGAAGAAGCGAGGCGTACTTATACGGCGTTCGGTCACCGTCTCTTTCTGCGCGGCTGAGGGCGCTTCCAGAAGAATAAGAAGCCAGTCTCGAATTGGATTCTATGAAGACCAGCGCCGTGTCAAGTCGATTTGATGTGGTTCGGTTGAGTTTGTCCGGTTTGAGCAAATACAAGATTATCGCTTCTTCGAATCTTTTCAGTCCTCTGAAACCCCAGACTAAAGAGAAAACTCGTCAGATTAAGGATTTTATAAACTAAAATCAAACATTTCAATTAAAATACATAAATATATTTAGGGCTGTCCAAAATACCCGTCGGTCCGAGCCCGGCCCGGCCTCGGCCCGGAAATCCGGGCCAGGCCGGGTTCCGGGCCCGGGCCCGGGTTACCCCAGCGGCGCCCGGCCCGGCCCGGAACAGGGCCGGCGCCGGGTCACATTCCGGGCCGGGCAGCCCGGGCCCGCAGCCCGGCCCGGGGGCAACGGTCACCAGTGGTGACCGTTGCCTGAAAAATCCGGGCCGGCCCGGCCCGGCCC